TTTACTTTCTTGTAGCCCACCAGAATAAAATAAGGCATAGCATTTACGAGGATTAGGCTTTCTATTTGAGAGAGAATATTTATGGATAGACTGATTTGAATTTATTTCTAAGGGTTTCTGACCGCGGTCTAATCACCCGTAACATCACTATCGCCTTTTTTATTGCAATTTCATATAACATCTTAGATGTGGATATTATAAAATAGAATTGCTGCTTCGTAGTATCGAATGGCTCAGTAATCAGCTCCAGCGCTAAATGCCTTTATACTTTGAATCAATGGATGTAAAAACGTTACTATATGTGATCATGCGACGGGGATTGGCACCGCTGAGGTCGCGCAGCCTGAAGAAAGTGGAACTTATTCCTTGCATTTCTAGACTGCATATGCGCGTAAAAGCTATCTTGTTTTGCCGGACACGAAAAAAAAACATTTACCTTACATGATAATTGTCTAGCGTAAAATGAATATACAATTGAAGTTTACAACAACAGCTCAGTTTCAAGAATGGGAGCATCCGCGATGCTCGAATTCTTTCTAGATTATCAATTGTAAGCAGCGGGGTGATATCAAGGTGTTTTTGCAGTGGCAAATATGACGTAACGTCTAAAGCGATTTACCCACCACTCGTTGTCCTACAGTCACGAGAACAATACGGTGTCTATTGCACCGAGTAGCTGACATCAAAACCTGGAGCACCTGAAAACTCAAGGCGCGATTGCCATGTTCCTTCGCTGGACGGCTACAGCGTTAGGAGAGGGTTTAGGAAAATCGCCTATATATCCTCAATTTTCTAGTTACCTTCAAATACGTCAAAATGATATCAAGGTAAAGTGCCTCTTTCGAGTTCTGACGTTATCGGGCTGCACTGCTACTTTTAGCGTCCAAAACTTTAAAAACGGATTTCGAGATCGAACTGTTGTCATAGGTCATGCTAGAAACGGATCTTCCAAATTTTGCAAAATGCAGTTATTGTGTCGTCCATCATAGTACACTAACTGTGTTTGAGCGAAATTTATACAATTTGTCACAATCGTCTATAAAGTAATGGTTTTTTAGAAATTTTTATAACATATAGACAGTTATTTTTCAAATTTTCCTTAGACTTCAGTTTGCTCCAAAGTCTGGAGTTACATTAGAGATTTCTCTGGGTGTCTAATTTCTTTAAATGGCTACACGTTACCGACATTAATTAACGCTTGCATTGCTTAGGGCTTGCGAACCCAACAACTACAATTTGGCTAATTATTTTCTTCCTTTGTATAATAACGTAATAGCATATATATATATATATATATATATATATATGCAGGAATTAGTGTCAGAGGCGTGGAGCCAAGATATTAATTTTTAAGATTTTGTTAAAAAATTTGTTTTTATTTATTGAATTTGTTCTTTACAGAAATTCCGGCACTAACTTAAAGTTTAGTGTAATTTTCGTGTAATTTTTAGTAGTAAATAATAGAAAACGCTAAATTGTGAAGTAAAAAAAAAACGTATGAAGTAAACGCTTAAATTCAGTGAAAACATCATAGAATCAAAATAAGTATAGATCTCTTAAGGAAAAACGACTTCATGGCTAGAATTGGAAACGATGAATTGCTAGAACGATGAGTAGAACCAGCTCAACCGCTCAAGTAACGGTTAGTTTGAGAACAATTCTTAATATTTTCAAAACCCCTTTCCAGAACGCCGGTGGAATGTCGGAATGGAAATTGTTTAATAACGCTTCTTGAATGCGTCATTATTGAAAAGATTAATTTACAGTGTTCGTACTGGTAGTTTATATCTGTATGCATTAAGCAATGCAACATATCTTACATGTTGCATCTCTTAATATTAGTTTTAACCAAACAAAAAAACTTTTTTTTTGCCACTTACACCAGTAATTTCGAGAGGTCAGCTTTTCGCAAGAAATAATCGAAGTGTTCAAGTTGGCTAATTCGACTGCAATACATAAGCGAATTCTATTCAGCACACAAATCTCAACACAAATATAAATCGATAATTGTTTGTCATGCATAAAACGAACCCCCAAATATTTAACTATATTGAACTCACTCGGCTACCGCGTCGTAAAGCTCAGACAGTTGCCCAAACACCTCCTCGGGGTCCTCTTGTGCATAATCCCAGTCAACCACTTGTTGTCGCTTTAGTCTATCGGCTTGCTTTTGGAGATGCGGTAACGTTATACTTTCTACGACTGACACTTTCCTGCCCTTCACATGGGCTTTCACGTACCGAGTCTTCATATGTTTCCACCGAATGTTGAACATAATCGTTGTCGATGAAACTGGTCGCCACAAACTGGCTTGAAACATAACCCGAGCTGAAGCTAGTGGCCCTGAGAATGTGCCCATGGGTTATGCTGTATGTTTAGTATCTAACAAAATAATAAAGTCAGCGTGCAACTATAGTGAAGCTATTACGATTGGACTTCAAATAGCTTTTGTCTAGGTGCGCATTTCCAGCGCAGAAAACAGGCACACAGCGTGTTCGAATCGGAAGTCGTGTGACCAGGATAAGGTCTACCCGATGGTCAATATCAAAACATGGTTTATTTTTTACGTTGTAAGTATGCAGAATAATTCCGTCGTTTGTTGCTGCTCGCGCATTTCAGCACACCTAGAATTTTATGCTTTGAATGATGTTTTATCACACCTAGATGCTTATTTAACGTCAGACAGCCATTTAGCTCTGACTGCTATCTGCATTACTCTTAAAGGCTGCAACGCATCTAGAGATTCATCCGCTGCTTTTCACATGTCTCTTTCCCCTTTATGTAGACATCTACAAAACACCTGCTCCGTATCTGTTTTTGTAAGCCATCTACTGTCAGACTCTTTCCACCAATTGGGACTCCACACCTTTTGAAAGTGTCTCTCTTAACCTCACAGGTGGCCCTCTCTGCAAAGAGTCGTCTGCTTGACACAGTCATTGTTTTACCCGAGGGGTCGATCAAATCTCCGGCGGAGTGTTGTGGAGAAAAAGGGCCCTCGTGAGCAATGTTTCTGCTTGTGTATAGTTCTTTGTGATGGTAGAAGGCTTAGTGAGCTTTTGCTATCGTCGGTACATGGGAGAGTAACTAAGTGAAAGGGGGATTGTCATTACAGAGCTGCTGGCGGACTTAGTGATCTGGCTGGTTACAACCAAACGGTATAATTTCTACTGTTACTAAGCTTCTACGCTCTGCGCTAGTGCGGACGATACGATGGCGTAGAGATGTGTGTGTTGGTACGTCAGCTCAAGTGGTTTTACTGTGGTTCGAACATACGACTAGCAATCTCTGAAAAGCTCTCGTTTTCCGGCGCTCCATTTGTACTCATGAGAAGAATTTCGCCGAACGACTGAACTTGAGTGTTCGCGAAATGTCTCTGTAGAGCATACACATGGAATCATATGATCGTGATGGAGAAAATAGTTGAGCGCCTGGAGAATAACAAAGGTATACGATATACACGCGTAAAATAATTAATTATTAGGGGCCTCATTCTGTGAAGAACGGTACAATTACCTAACCACACATGGAAGCTGTTGTGCAACCTCATCCAAAAATATAACGAAGCTATAACATAGCGATAAATATTTTGCCTTATTCATATATTGCGGTGTGTATAGTAGTGATATTGTCATGGAACAGTGCAAAATCTATTTTAGAACGACGACGTCTGTGTCTGCAAGGACTAAGTAAGATTCGTATAGTGCCAGTCAGTGTTTGGGAACTAGATCGGCGGATCGATCATCGATCGAAAAATCAAAACCTACTGTTTTAAGAGTGAATGAAAATTCACTGGATAAAAGAGGCTTACCACGTTCATAGTAGGGGGCCTTTGTAGGATATCTTTATTCATGTAGCGTACATTTTTCAAACCGTGTTTTGTGCTTATAAATCGCAGAAGCAAAGAACGTTATAGATAACATTATCCAATAGTCCAGGTACCGGTGAAACAGAGTCATTAAGTTTAGGGCAATTAAGTTAATTGGCTTTATACTCGATGCGTTACTAAAAATTCTCGGTTTTAATGATACTGTCTGTATTTTATTTTATATGACAGCGCTTCACGTATTTCTACTTCTAATTCGTTGTAATTGACAGAGTTTTTTTTCTTCATCACAAATTTAATTGCCAGTCCATGAATGAAATGTTGCAATTATAAGCAGTCGATAAGTTCCTGGCATTCTCTACGGCGGCACTATTGTAAATTGAAGTCAATAAATTCCTTTGATTTGTATTAATTATTCGTTTTTCGAGAAAGAATACAAACACGGGTCACTATGAAATTGGTTTAAGATGTAAAACGCATGAAGAGCTAAGCAACTTTTTTTTTACGCACCTGTGTTCTCAAAGCGCTAATTTAAGCACATGTAAAACATTTAACTAGCACTCTAGCTTTTGGAAATGATGTTTTATCAGGAAGCATGTAGAAATGGCAATAATGTGTCAAATAATAACAAGCACTTTGAACTACAATCTTTAATTACAGACAGCTGGTAGTGAACGATTGGTGTCGCGATGAGGTACAACATGAAAGAGCTGATGGCAGTGGCCTCACAGCCCGCCATCAAGTTCGATAAAGAGGGAGTGTTATTCTTCAAAGACAAGCAAGATGGAATTCTCTTTCGAAAAAGCGATGGTATGGACATTTTTTTCGGATATATTAGGTCGGTAAAGAAAAAGTCGTTTTCGCTTTTTTTAAGTGTTGTCAAATCTTGAAAGAGCTTCAGTTCCCTTTCTAACGTTCGCCATTTAAAACCAAACATGTTTGGCCTTAAATGGCAGTGCTACGGTGTTTAGATGACAAGCCGATTTCTCAATTAAAGAACGGATATTGATAAAAGCTACCTATTCTTAAATTTTTATTCTTAGTGTCATTTTTACTCAAGGCCAAACTCTTATAATTCGATAGGGCAAGGTCTGATATGTAACATGATCGTACAAAAATGTCCAGGGTTTGTTGTAGCTTTCCGATTCATCGGAACTGTTCAATGCTAAACGTCGTAATTCAACATGATCCCCTTGTTTCATAACCTTCGATTTTTTCCTTCGTGTTTGCGGGGTTGAGCCACACGCTGCATTCATTAGTCCACTGTGTTTTAAAGTCTTCTACGAACATCCCCGATTCCGGCAAATCCTCTGACGTAGCAATCTAGAATTTAAACATTTGTTTTTCGTGAAAGGTCATAAAATATACCGCGTTTATTTTCTATCGATTTTGTATAGAAATCGCAGTTTTTCTTTGTTGCTGCAAATAGTGATGTCCACATCTCCAAAGGATCTGCATTGGCATTTTTACTGAACTTTTATGTAACCCATGCTCGTCCTTAAACATCTTTCCCTTAAACATACAGGCAATTCAAATAGTACAACAGCAAAGGCTTAGCCCTTCAGAAGGCTTATGTGATGCCTAGGTCGAATTTTCGTGAAATAGAAGTTGCCGTGTGCGTTGCATCGTTGCGCGCCTAATGTGGCCTCCAGAAGCGTGGCTTGTAGCTAGATTTGCGGTTTTAAAATATTGAAATTAGTTTTCGCAGACAGAGTATTTGACCGCATCCGTCGATTCGTAGCCCAAAGTTAGTGTTAAGGACGATATGGGAAATGCGTTTTTCCGGTCTTGTAATTTTCTTGCTCAGTAATTGGTACTAACGGACTAAAACGAATTATCAAGGGTGGTGCTAACGCGAAACAGTAAAAAGGGCAAAGTAAACAAGAAATGCAGTTCAAAAGTTGCTGAAATTACTTTTTGAATTACCTGATAGTTGTGCGGTAACTTACCGTATAAAGTACCTTGAAGACATTAATTTTGCTGTAATTATAAAAAAGTACACATTAGCGCTAGTAAAAAAAGATTAAGGACTAATTCTATTGATAACGAATACTTATACGAAAACGAAACGAATACAATGGCTTTGCCTCTATGATAGCTTTACGTAGTGTTGCGTTTAATCTAATGTTGTCTTCCTACATTTCAGTGTACACGGAGCGATGGTTTAGACTAAAGGGCAATCTTTTATTTTATCTACGTAACCGAGATCCGTGTTCGGAGCCACAAGGCCTAATTGTACTGGAGCATTGCCACGTGGAAATGGGACCCCGAAATCAAACGATGTTTTGCTTCTCGTTAGGTCCGAAGTATGGCTTTGGTCGATACCTGACACAAGCAGAAGTTTTCTCCGCATCACTTTCTTACGTTATATTATTAAATTGATTTGATTAAATTTGCCAGCGGAGTGTTCTAGCTACTGCTTGTATAAATATTTTATCTAAATTGCAATAGATCTTAATATAGTATATTAAGTGTCCGTGCTTTTCGAAGTGAGTCTTTTTCGAGTAGTATATTGTTGGTTGTCGTCGAATAAACATCGAACTATTCGGCAATCAGAATTCACGAAATGGAAATCATTGTCTTACAGTTTGTTATTGCTTCCATCATTACAGTGTATAACATGGAAGACCATATTTACTTGGGCGCATTGTCTGAGGCCGAGCGTGACTCGTGGATGCACGCATTCACAAGTGCTTCGATAGAAAACCTTCGACGAACCGCGGAAGAGCTGCGGGCAGGGTTGGCCTTGGCCCAAGAAGGCCCGCTCACCAAGAGCTCGTCGCCTCAACCATCGGATAGTAGCCATTACGGATCGGAGGAATGTGAGCAGGCGCCTTTGATTACTTTCGACTGAAACTATAGCGTAGAAGTTTATTATGTCATTGAAGTAATAACTCATCATTCCCACTGACACAAGTGAAAAAGAACCTAGTGGAATAGCCACTGAGTTTGCAGATTTCATATTCGATACACACTTGGCCAATAGGCAATAAATCATTAACTCAAACGTGGCTACTGACGTAGGTTCTTATATCGCTTGACTAGTCGTTGGTTTAGATGGGAAAGATTTTAATTACGGAGTTCGTGTTGCTATATTTATCCATAGCTTACTTCCTTTTAAGGCTCCTCCTTAAGTTAACAGTTTTACAAAATGACATAGTATAGCGGACATACCATTGTGTGTGGTGGTTGTTGTTGTTTATACTAATCGTTTACCTAGTTCTTTCTAGCGTACCCCCCCCCCCCCAAGTAAAGGTGAGAATAAAGTTGTCATTACTTGGTTTGTCGCTTTAAATGTGAGCTAACAAAAATAAGTATGTACGAGGATATGTTGATATCATGAGCGTTTATTCGTATTTTTACCATAGAATACCTTCTGAAGGCTTTAATATTAAGAGCAGCGGACGTAGACGGAATCGTTAACTGCTACGGCGGGTCACATCAGGTCACTAGCAGGGAGTCTCCGATTATATATATTATAGAAAGCGTTTTGTGGAATATCTATAGAAAGCCAGATACGATAATACTCAATGTAATTAAAAAAAAAAAGGTTTAATAGATAGCTAAATACGAGACCTGATATCCATATTTTTTTTCTTTCCTGTTACCTCAAAATAAAACTCAGCTACCTTAATGGAATCTGTGATTTTTGCTGCACAGTTATTGTATATCTAAAGTCAAATGATAAAAGATTTTATCTGACTGTAGCGTGAATGAGAATCTAGGCTTGAGATGAGAAACAAGTAGTTATTTTATTTAGCGCGTTCATATTTATATAGTACAAAGTCGTATGATATGTCAAACAAAAGAGGTATGCGGTACACCTGGAAATGATTCTACCTAAATATGAAAACAAGGATAACGACGGAAGGCTGCTTGTCATTTCACCTAAAAATTATCCAGTCATACAATTAATAACTTGCGTTAATTTTTTTTTGCCGCGTTTCGATTCCTGCTTTATTTAATACTACTGTTATAATCCCAATTAGAAAACCGATATCTGTACGACACCAAAGAACGTTCGAATTACTTTGTTTAATAGTTTAAGTGCAATTTGTAACATGGGGACGAACATGCGCTGTATTCATGTTTACAGTAATAAATGTCATTTTAACTGAATTGCAAATTTGTTTTTATTTACTTTTGTAGTAATATATGCTCGGATGACGTGCATATGTGGGTCCGCTTAATCGAGCGTTTTTTTTATTTTGTAATCTATTATAGTTGAAGATGACATACTTGTCGAAAGATAAGCGCAAAGCCTTCAGTGATTACGTACCTTTAATATACCTATTTATACCTCTGCCGAGTTGTGTTTTTCATAGTATTTTTTTACAAGATGCAGCCAGATTCTCCTCCACTTGCTTCGGTTAAGTACCTGCGAACGGTGTACAATTCAATTTAGTTTGTTCCTTCAGAACAGAGTAGACTAAAGGAAAGCGAGAATCCTTGTAGCCGTTAGGAAGTACATCGAGCGCGTATGGTACTTGTTTTTTAAGGAAATTATAATTTTACACAAATAATTGTTAAGACAAATGGCACGATTGATTTATGAAGTTGTACATTTTAGTGTATCTATCATCATATATATATATAACTGGTCTTTTGCTTCTTGTTTGTTATTTTCCCTATTTTTATACGTAATTTTTTTTCTGTTGCTAGGTGCTGATGAGCTGCGGCCGTTATTATTGGAGCTCAGTTGCGACAACCTTCGTTGCGATCATTCTGGACGGCCGCCAAACTCAATGCTTGTTCTCATGGGCAGCCTGGCACCTGCTATTTGGGACACCTGCGGACACACAGAGGTCGTTGAGGTAAGTGGTTCTCAAAAGTTAAACAATCATCTTTATCAGTCTGAGTGATTAAACGACATTAAAACAATTTCTTTATCAGTTTGAATAGCATTGATGTTCGAAGTATGAATACTATATATTAGTATTTTCACACCAGTTCGGTTGAAAAAACAATTGAAAGTCTTGTTCTAAATTTAACGTGAGTCAATCTGTCTTACAGCGTTCATCGAATCCAACGTATCTTTTGAATGTCGAACTTACTGGACGATTTTGCACTACGTCAAGTTCAATCCGTGTATGTTGTTACGATGTAAAGGAGCGCGTTACGAAAACGAAATCATTCATCGGGTGTGCTTCACTTTCCCTACGATCACTCACAATGCCATCAGATAATCAACCCCGGCTGCCGCTCATGTAAGCTTTGCAATAGCTCAGCCCATTAACGGGAAAAATTATGAGCTCTATTTCAAGGTTGGAATTTACGATTCACGTGTTTCAAGCTTAGTTGTCAGATACGCTATCCATGGACCTTCACGAGAACCTATCAGTACATATAAACGATGTCTTTTTTTAATGTTGAATCTTGTGGCCAGGTGTGCACTTAAGGCCCCAGTGTATTCAAGGTACTCTATCTGTTAAACCGCATCGAAAAGACATGTTAAAATCTTGCCCCGCTGCCATAAGTACGTTGTGTCATTGTTGTGTTTTTGGCTCGTGGAATAATCGTACTCTTAACACATGGAATTAGCGCTTTTGGATACATCCTACAGAGTTTATTAAATTGACTCACAAATATAGAGTTTGTCGTGGATAGTAACAGAGCCATCTCTAATCATTTTCAGATCACCCGATCATGAGACGGTTGGGTTTGTCACTATTGCAGCACGCACCGATTTTGTAAGTGTAGAACAATACAGAGTTGAGACAAGGACTTGAGTAAATTATAAGTATTCCGCTATATAAATCCGAGGTCTTATGTGTCACCCAGCTTCCGTACCAGAGAAAAACTTATTTCATTACATGACTCTTTCAAAATTAAATGCAAAATTTTCTTAACTTTCCTAACTAGCTTAAGAAAAAATTCCTAACTGCGTACAATATGCACATTGACTACGTAATAAATTACTAGTTAAGCCAATAGATATTTTCACTGTACTATGTTATGTAACAGATTCGATTTATTTTTTACTGTTCCAGTCGTCATCAACGTTTAAGGAGCGTATTTCTCGGAGCGGTCTTTTTGAGAATCTGTTCTGTACAATGTACCGTTTTCACACAGGACTTGGGGCACATCTCATTGTTTCGGAAATTATGGCCGAAAGCAGATTATCGTTTACAATACCCCAACTTCTGCTGTAAGCATATTCATTCAGATGGGTCTCTGTTACTTACACAGATTAGTGTATGCACATTTTTTAATCATTAAAACGAACGTTAGTTTTTTTCCTTAGAATCATGTTAGTCATGGCTTGCTTGTTGCTTTAGAGGATAATTTGAGGGTGGCCAAGCATCTTTCGGAGTAGCTTGACTATAGCTTTACAAATAAATTCTATAGATAATTATTAGAATGAAATAGTGTAACTGCAACATCTAGAGTCAAAGCTAGCAGTACATCTAATCCGAAAAGGGAAAATTTATGCTTAGTCGATATAATTGAAGACGTTTTTCTACAAACATATTTAGTTTCTGTAGTATTATTATTTTTTTTATTAAAAACTGAATTTAAATTTAGTGCACGACACACTCACACACACACACACACACACACACATTTTAAAATTTATTTACACATCATAAAATGAGTATTTGGTTTGTAGAAATTTATGGATGACAGAAGAGAAACGATTGCTGGAGATTGTTCTTTCCATGGAGTCAGCTACTGAAGGCGAGTGGAGGTCGCTACAGTCCATTGCAGTACGGCGTCACATGCATCTCATTGAGACATACCATAAAGCTTCTGATACACTCGCCGATTATTGCGGCAGTGCTTTCAAGACTAGCATTATGAAGGGAGACAGACCATTTGAGTTTGTACCTGTCAATCTGCATCTGCAAAGAATGGCAGTACGCCAGCATAAGAACAAGGATGTCTGTGATTACGATGTCGTCACTGTTGGCGCGTTTACGGCATATCCGCATAAGTAAGGCTATTTTAAGTGCTCTAAAAGGAATGAGGATATCTAAAACGTAAATCTAGTGTCAAAATCAAAGAAGTGGTAAAAGTAGTCAATAAAAAAAATTCTGATTGTTATGTATGTATTACCACTTCTTCGCATAAATAAACCCAATTGGGTACTATTTTTAGGGCGTGTTTCAGAACTAGCTGGCAGATATACGTGATATCGAACGCATTTTGAAATCACAAAATGAATACGCTACGTTCCTATTACAAAGATTAGCTTTATTCTTGATTCTCTCAAATGCATTACACTTGTCAAAGTACTTCGTCTTGCGTTCTGCTTATTGCACTATCTGTAAACAAATTTTATGTCAATATTTCATAGGTACGCGCATGGAGGTCTTCATCGCCAGTTGAAGCAGTTGAAGGGTATGCATTCGACGGCGCAAGCCCAGAATGCTGCTATGGACGCTTCGTGGGAGGCTCAGTCAATTCTGGGGCCTGATAGGCTGTCACAGATGGCACAGAGTATATTGACAATCGAGGAGCTTCGGGAAGACATTGAGTCGAGCCTCGAAAGCCTCTTATATAATGCGCAACTGCGAAACGTACACGTCATGATGACGCTGGTCGAAAAGATCAATGTAAAAGCAAAAAAACTCTCGGTAAGTTCGGTCTGGTAGGGGGCTACCGTTAACATTAATTAGCGTAGCTGGGTCATTCGACTGCTCGATTTAGTTCCATTTGATGTAGTATAGAGAGGTGCCATTTTGGGATTCTTAAGCGGGTTACGCGAAGGGAATGCTGATCGAAGGCCGTATTTCTGCCGTTTGACTATATAATTACTGTGCTTTAGTGATTGTTCACACAATGAAAAACACTTCAGGGCACGTTTTGGCTATTTTTTTAAATTTATTAATCATGTTTAGATCGTTGATGTGTAATCTTCCTAGAACATTGTTATAAACAGCTTCATCACACCTAAAAACAGTACGTCGTGCAAGCTTTTTGTATCTGTAAGAGCTTTTCATCATGAATTGGTTTTGTATTCTGTACCAACTCTAACACACCTAAAAATCATCTCGCAGAACGCGAAAAGAATCACGTAAAGAGAGAAGGTATTTTGCTTTTTTTTAGGGAGTCATGGGTTACAGTTCCTAATAAAAATAAATCAGGTAAAAAAAATCAAGCTAAAATAAATCAAATGTTTGACCATCGATATACTTAATTGATCCAGCGCAGCGTGCATTTTTCAATAGCCTTCTCTAATAATAACCGAATAATACATCGTTACGTACTCGACGTGTTCTACTGTTTTGTAGCAGGATCAATGTTTATAAGTGAATTTGTATATAGGATGAGAGGAAACGGTTCTGATGCTGCCCCTTACGGGCAACTAATAATAATAATAATAAAAACATCTTATTTTCTTTAGATTTTTGTTTTGTATATTTTTCGGGTTGTTTCCTCGTTGAGTTCGCAAAAAAACTAAATGGCCATTAGCATTGATTTTGTGGTATAATATTCTACAGGTTTCCTGTGAAAAATCCTTGATTGAAGAGGCGCTTGCCATTTGGGATACAGCGCGCTGCACCGGTTCGACCGCCGAGCTGCGAAAGGCTCTTCCACTCAACCTGATGGATGCTGGCCCTCCATCGTTAAACCGAAATAAATCTGCTTCGCTTCCACGTCAGCTCTGTTCTTCAAGCGGAGGCTTCACTCTCAAGGATATTAGCGACGATGAGGATGATGAACAAGACAACAAACAGGATGAACGAGACTTCAATAGCGGAAGCACGACCCTGCAGAATGCGAGGTACAGCATTAATGCTTTCCCTATAGCGGCTCGTCAAAACTGGACCCGTAAAAAATTTTGTTCTAAAAATGATTTGACAAGATTGCATTTAGGTGGCATTTTTACAATGATAGTTGCCGAAAGTAAAAATAGCATACCTACGTAAAGTACGCATTATAGCTCTTAAGGTAAGGTGTACATGCATCTAATTGAGCCCATCCTGATATATCGATTATAGATCTACGCCCACACCGCGTAGCCACACGCCAGTCCAAGACCTTTGCGAGGATTTCGAACCGTTGGATATTACATCGTTAAACATTCGAGCATCGACAATGTGTATGACAACCAAAGTGTACAATCTAAACCAGCAAGAAGAGTATTGGGCTGAAGAACTGCGACCGAGTGTCCGTAAACTCCGAAGCGCAATGCAGACGCTGGATAGGATCGCCCGGGTTACCTATGGACTGCTCTCGCTCAAGGAGCCATCACACACTGCTTCTTTAAGCTACAGCGTAAGATACCGGTACGGAATACATGTACATCTATTCAGAGTGTTTTACACACCACCAGTTATACTAAACTTTCCTTTGGTGAAAGATGTTGGCTTGTGCGTGTGTACCTCATCTCTTGCTACCTTCGATTCATTGTATACAAATACTTGAAACAGGACAGTATAAATTCATTGGTCTTTTATGTCGAGAAATATATGAATTTAAAAACGGTTGGTCCAGTGGTACTATAGTGTAGCATAGCAAGTTTTTGATAAGTATTCTAATGTTCATTGATCCGATAGGCGCGACGTCTGTTTCGCTCAGTCGCTCACGGCTACTGTCGTAGCATTGCAGGCCAAATTTTGGTGCCAGAGTCCAGATCAGGTTTTGCTACGGTCACTCGGTTCAACCGGAAGTGCTCTAGCGACTTTTGCGTCATACCTTAGTTGCTACGGGGACGAACGCGGAATGATGGAAGATATGCTTGTCGCTGTAAAAGATCTTCGGAACGTCACATTTATTATTGAAGCCTTCAGTAGCAAGGTTGGGCCTGGACCACGTATTGAAGGAAGCAGGTAAGCAAGGAAGCGTATTGTCTTACCATACTGTGTGCCTATTTTAATAGTACTGATGTAAATGGAATTGTCTGAGTATATGTATCGAACAGAAATACGAGGCTGGTTATCAACTAAACAACGTCGTTCGTTCGCTAATTTGCGTGAAATAAAAAAAAAGGTGTTTAAAATCTATTATTATTATTACTATTTTAGGCAAAAATAGTAAAAGCAAAGTCAGCTTCAATAGTAAGGATTCGCCGCAATCTTCACAAAAAATAGTTTTTTCTTTTGAAAAAGATTGGAACTTAAAGTACCGGTGTAATGTACGGGGCCTACTTTAATATAAATGATTGAATTCATGATTACCGTTTTTATGGAGCGTCACTCAAAACTAACACAATCGAACTTCATTCCAGAGTAAATTTACGGGTAGTTTTGCCTGTGCCAGATTCAGTGATCGAGTCGGCTGCATTTCTCAATACATCTTTAGACAATACGAAGTTCCGCTTGCAATTTGGTCTGACCCCAATCTACTTCAATGTCGGCATCAATGAACAAGCTACGATTGCCGAAAAGTAAGACCTGAGTTCTTTGCAAAAATCGGACAGTTTGAATACTTCCTACTTAGGATTAAATGTGGTGTCTATTGCGTTATTCGTATACTAATGAAGTGCATAGTACCTCTTTATTGTATCTAACTTGCTTAGAAGTTGTAAATAATTCTACGTTCGTTTACGTACTGAATGCTACATAACAGTAATTATTTCACTTGCTTTATGTGGACGCTCAGGCTGGGGAACATTGATTTGCAAGAACGCATCAATACGGGCGGCGCAGAATTACTTGTTGGCTATATGCGACGCTTCCAACGCTGTCAGGTCAAGGAGAACATTGAATTGCAAAAGTTGGCCGAACTACTCGATAATCAGCTCTCCACTCGACGAAACAAAAACGTTGACGTACTGCACACAGCTATGAGAGTATGTTGCCAGCCTTCACAGCGTACATGTACAGCATTGAGTTACAACTAGGCTAAGAAATTTATAAGGACTCCGTTACGCTTGCCAGGAGGTGCTTAGAGCAGTCAGTTTTTGTAAAATTAAAATCTATCCTGAGGTAAAGCTTTAAAAATGTATCGTATTCTTGGTTTTGCATTATTATTATTAAATCACCACTTGTGCAGTCATTATTTTTAAATTACCACAAAGTGGATCTAAAAAATATTTAAAAAAATGTTGCTTTCACTGAGCATGTGAGAAAACTATATTCTCGTTATTACCAAGTATTAGTACTATATAGCTAAATCTGCTCGTTCGAAATTAATGGTAGTGAAATCTACTTATAAAATGACTTTAGTCCTTCTCCAGCAGCTCGCTGCCTAACGCACTTTTTCCTTTTTCCCCTTTTATTCGATTCCATTGGCATTACCTGATTGATGATTTGAGCTTTGTTCTCTGGCAGCACTTCAACACAATTGGTGTGAGTTTGTGTCTACTCCATCCTTGCGAAAAGCGAAAGAAATTACTCCCTCAGTGGCCAGCCGCTATCTTCCCGCTGATGACTTACTCGACTTGCAATAGCATTCAGTGTCGTCTACGACGCTTTCCCTCATAGAGTCACCACTTTCTGACCCTCTGCCGATGCAGCTACCTTGGCCAAGGACTCAAGGGATGTCGGTGTGGCTGATCTGGCATAGGGTGACCAAAGCGAATCCGACTGAGTTTCCTGGGGCCCCGAAGACCAGGACAATCGCTGCCACCACCGCACACTATTTAGGGGTACGAGCAGGATTCGCAGCAGCAGTAGTATTAACGCAAACGGCGCCAGTTGATGGGAATCTTCTTTTCGTTCTGCTCCCCGTTGTTTCCCCACTCAGATTGAGGCACCTACCGAACCGTCTGAGCCGAGAGTGTCTATATGTGTATGTGTATGTATTTGTCTGTATATCGATGCAAGCGTACCAGGGCGGAGATCGCGTAGTCGCTAGGTATTAGCGTAGCAATTTTCTACTACGACATTTCTGCCCTATAACTGGTAAGACACCACTGCACCCAATATAGCAGCCCCGTACCCTATAGCCATTTTTGTTTCGGCACTTCGAATTGTTTGAGCGCGTTCGTGTCGTTCTCAGCTTAGCCCAAATTCGCCTTTACTTCGTATTGACCCATCCCTGTTGGGTGTGCCGCTCTACATCCAGGTGAGCTCTTACGCTCATATCCCTGATCTCACAGAACCCCCTAAAGAACCAACTTGCACAGCTGCCTTCTTCCTCAAAAGACAAGTATAACAGATGTCCAGCTGGGTTTCTCTTCGTGCCGCCTTCTTTCGCTTGGTTCTCTCATTGTATCTATCCACCTCCTCCCCTATCCTGCTTTCGAATTCTCCTTTTGTTTCTCCTTGTTATTATTGCGGCGTGTCTGGCACTCCTTCTCGATATCTGGCTCGCCTGATTTGGTCCCTAAGGGCTCCCCAAGTCAGACAGACTTGGTCTGAGAGAGTTGCCAGAGGAAGGCTAGAGTAAGAACTCACTGTACCTCCCCCTCATGAAGAAGGGAAGCTAGGTAAGGCGGCCTCTAAGGCTAGTAACGGTACCGTCTGAGTTTGTTTGCGCTAAGTCGCTTCGAGTCATGTGTGGTTCTCTTATGTGCTGTTTCTATAGCACATCGGCTTGAGTTAGAATTGTTGGACTTTTGAATAGAGGCGTCAACACTTTTTCATAGAGCCGTTTACGACAGTAGTTGGCGTCCTTTTCACAGGTGTTACTATACAACTCATGTTTGATCCTAAACCCATTTGGGTAGCTAGGCCCATTGGATAGCATGATGTATTTATGAAGACGAACACATTATATATTGAAAAAGATATGGAACCCCTGGTAACGGTGGAAAAGGTTTCGCGCAGGGCTTCATCATCGCATTTTGGCAGTTTCGATTTAACAGGTTTTCTTATAGTAACAGCAATATTGAGCTAAAAGATTAACATTATAAAGCTAATGAGACATAGGTTTAGAAAACAGAGGCTTTAAAATATAAAATAAACGGATATTATTATTATTATTATGCTGTCAAATATATGTAGCTATTCTATTTAGCATTCAGTTTTTTACCAAGAGCATTCGGAACCAGCAAAATAGTCCTATCCTGGCCACGGTAAAGCGTGAACCTTTTTACGTGTGTAGTATCCAATGGTAAGAGTAAGAAACTATAATCTCAACATTGAATCACGCAAACATTATTTATGCATTCGCTCATTACGTTTATGTAATCCGTACCTTAAGATTACTCAATACTGTGCCTACTATAATGTTTATAATAGCACGCAAATAATAGGAGAAACTACGAACACATGTAGGTTTGAATCTGATATCTTATATTCTCTCATGTGCTTATAGAAATAGTGGCTCTATATCGAGTGCGATCCTTATCCTTTAGGTAAACAAAGTAAGGTCTGACTGTCCTGTATATACGGCTCTTTTGGCAGGCATCACACAAACACAAGCCTGGCCGCTTTCGAGACGCTGGTAAACCTTGCCAATAGTGTGCCAGCAATGTAACCACCTCTATCAGAGATGAGCTCTAGTGGTCTTTAGGTGGGTGCATAATTTGCCGCCTCCGCTTTCCTGGACAGCTTTTGGGCGAGCGTGTCTGTGCTCTGTTTCCAATGGTCTCTCAGGTCCAGTATTGATTGGAGGTAGCAGAAATCTTCTAGCGATCCAAGGCGGGATGAACATTAATGCAATTATTTGGGCGGTTCTCCTAGCATTGACCTAGAGAAGAGGCGCGAGACAGTTGTGGCTGGAGAATATAGCCTTCCTCGAGCCGTTTTCTCCCAGTGGAGGTCAAGGAAGCTGCAAAGAAGTGAATTATCAAGAGTGATTGAAGCAATCTGAGGTCAGTCGACTACTAAGTTAGTACGATGGCAAAGACAGAGACCTCATGAATGCAATAGCCCTTAGTAGCTGTCTGCTAGTAGTGCGAGACAGCACAGATGAAGAAAAGGAACGTAAAAGAATCGATAGGTAAGTACTGGATGGATGTCGGCCGTAGTGGGCGCTTGTAGTAATGGGTTCGTCACTACGTGCCGACGTGATTAGGGATCTTTTGGGAGTCAATGGGATAGATGCGCCCGGCGATCCACAACGAGCGGCTTGATGGGTGTGCGTTGGTCAGGCAGGCTTCGCTTGCTTGCTTGGTATGTTTGACTGGGTGTGATTACCGTTGCTTCAAACGCTAATAGTCGTGGCTTTCTACGAGTGCTGCTGGAGGATGAGTATACGTGTGTTTACGCACTTAGGGGTACTGCTATTATTATAAGGAGGCGGTTGAGGCAAAGGATGGGCAACATCGCATTCACCCGCGGACAACAAGCCGCTATGGGTTGTTTAAGATACTAATCGAGATAGATGGTGGCTGTGTTTCGCTATGAGGTTGTACTTGGATGTGCTATATGTTGCAGATAGATTGAGTTTGAAGCTCAAAGCTATCCAATCCACATGGTGCTCACTGCACCCGGAATCGGAAGTGCAAAGCTTCATAGATACAAGCAACTCTGTGCAGTTGCTCTATATTTTGCTGCTAAGACGGACGCCACTCGGTCATGATTGGATGGCTTGCTAGCTGGCTAGTGAGTCTACAGAAGCTTAAGCACGCTGGGACTAGATGGCTGTTGCGTCTGGTACGGCATCATGTTGTGCGAAATAAGTAAGGATTACCTTTAATCCTCATTTATATGTCGCCAACCGCTGAAGCACCAGCTGAGTGCATGACGTCTTTATACAGAAGGAATTAGCATCGATGTTAGAATATATGGACACCAGTGTATGGACAAAAACGAAGGTTCCACGACTCGTGGAACTAAATGACTGCAGAAGTAATGAATAGCTCAGCGAGCGCACTGCGTCTGATGAGAAGCGGACATGAAATTCGTAGAGAAATTTGTCTACATGGTTCGTTTCGCTGAGGGTGACATGCAACTACTCAACGCTGCTTCGGGGGCGCCGGCCGTTTTGATGTCACGCATGAAGAATCAACACTTGCACATGCATCGGGCTATTCATTATTATCAGTTTGCTCCCTAGGATTTCACTGAACCGAGCTGGCAGTACTCCGTAGTAGACGAAGCGAAAAAGGGTAAGCGTCGACTCCCTTGCTAGATTTATGCACAGCAGGCATTGGCAAAGTTGCTCCTGTACGTCGATGTGAGTATCTCATATTTCGATCACGAACCTTGACAGAGGTACTCTAACGGTAAATTCGGTACTCTAAGTAGAAGTAGACCAGGTAATACGGATTGTTGTCAAACACTACAGTACCTATCGTGAAGCCTTGGTCTAAATATTACAGCATATTGTGTGAGGCCCTGTGTGATGAAGAAGAGGCAAAGCTTTATGAGTCAGGCGGCGGTGAGATGGCGGAGGAGCTGGATATCAAGAAAACAAAGGAACGGCCTTGGCATAATCGCCTACAATATAATATAAAGAGAAAGCGGTAGGAGGAGGTGTCGCATCGATCGTCGCGGTTGCAGGTTGTAGAAGTACAGCCCAAAAATCCGTTAGGAAGAAAGTTACGAGCGATCCCAGCAAACGAATAATTTTAAGGTAGATTTAGCCTTAAAGGATTTTGCTTTATTACACTTTGGAATCGCTTTTTGAAATTCTCGCTAAGTGTCTGCCTGCCAGGCTATAAGCACCTGTGGAGATGGTCTGCTATTACAGAGGAAATAATCGCCATCTAGGCCCATGTTTTACAAGTCAATCAACTTAGCTTGAAGATTATAATCGTAAGGTTGCTAAGATAGCACCTTACCGTGCACTGTCTTCTAATTTTTCAGGTGTCCAGCAAATAAGGACCTATACATTGCGTTATTGTTATTCTACACGTAGCAGCGTTATTTAGATTATTGCAAATTAAAGGTTGTCATTTATACAATATTTAGAGATCATGAACGTTCTATTTCTCGCTCTAGTTGCAAATGATAGCTCCAACTATTTGAATTAGGTTTCTATGGCCCTGTAATGCAGTATTTTTGTGCTGAGCCCGTGTTTTCTATACCATTCAGGTAATAGGTGCTCTATAAAAGAGAGCTCGTTAATATTAAAGAGGGGGAAGAGAGGTCGGATTTTAATATATTCGTTTTTTAGCGAAACCCCAAATTTCTAGTCGTTGATTTAACACAAATAATGAACCTCTGGGCCTGAAATCAGTGTAATACGTGCTTAATTAATATTTCAGATGTGTCGTCTAATGCACGGGCTGCGCATGACGTCCTGCAAAAGTGCCAAAGACCGCACAGGCATGTCGGTTACGCTGGAACAAGTTTCAATATTGGAGCTCGATCACAACTTGGCTGCCCATCAAGTGTCACATGCTCTCCAGTGTATGCGCAGGTCAGTATAAAATAATTCCTTTCTTATTGTGCCGCTATTGACGCACGTTGCGCTTTCTATTTAACGTTCAGAGGTCGGGGTTGGTATTTACGTGGTAGGTAAGGAGCTAGATGCCAAAGTCTTGCCAAAAGTTGGATTTCGGGCGTTGACGTTATGTTAAGTACCATAAGTACTAACAATTTTTTCTTCAAGTTTCTAATGGCAGCAGTTTCTAATGCGATCGTTGAACAACGCGTATCTAAATCAACAAGACCTTGAACGAATTTATGAATGAATAGAAGCATCGAAGTTTGCAGTTTCCCAGCCTTGCACTCTAAACAGCGGAAGATGCAGTTCTTCTCGATTTCCGCCAAACAAAGGTGCACATCTCAGCGTATTGAGATGTCAAACACTTAATTTGTTGGGATCTTAGGGAAAATGTTACAGTCATTGTAAGCGGTAACTCACACATTGTTCATTCTAAGAGTAGAACGCGCGCTAAGCTCGTTAGGAGACAAAAAAAAACTGATGAATTAGATGAAATAAATGAAGTAGGCTGAGAAACGATTATTAAACGTAGCCATGTTTTCCACACTTTTGCGAAAATTATTTTTGATTTTAAATCAGAAGTGAATGCCTATCGCTGCAAGTAATTGAGTTTTGGGATAACCGTAATTCGTTCAGGGCTGTCGTTTTTCTTATGCTTCTATGTCGAAAATTGGTTCTTATTTTAAATAACGGCATTTGAATTAAACATTTTAATAATGACCATATACGCCATAGGATCACTAGGTAGAAATCGCTCTGAATCGTTCTGTTTATGTTCTAAAATTGCGTTCGGAAAAAACATGCGACTCCCTAGAAGCAGAAGCCGAATTAACCCGACACTTCTAAATTTATTCAAGATTATATAACCATTTTTCTAAGGTAATACTACTGAACACCTGCAACGAATGAAGGCAGTTTATAGTGACCGTACATGTGAAAACAGCGTACAACATGGACAAGAGTCAATGAACATTCCTTTCACGCCTTTATAGACAGTAAAATTACGGTACATACTTCCGTTTCTTACTGGTTTGCATCGGTTTTGCCACTACGCTTCTTTTCAGTGAGGGCTCGCGGCTGCAAAACTGCTTCAAAAACATCGGATCACCGAAGTACGCTATCAACACATTACAACTTATGCATATGCCAAAGATGTATCGACCACCAGTCGGTACCTTTGGATATGGGGATACTTAGTCATCAAAAGTCATGAAATTTAATAGAGCGAATACATTGCCTTTTTAAATCTACATGAGAACCGAAGAAGTTATTAAAAAAAAAAAAAAACTTAATAAGCAGTCATTCTTCATTTAAAAGGCACGCCACGTACGGTTTGCGGTGTTTGAAATGCTGGCCGTTAATAAGCACAAATATTGACGATATCTATGTGCCTGTAGCCAGAGGCTAGAGACATATAAACGGATAGAGCGATAGGGAAAGCTTGCGATTTTAAAAGTTCGAAGTGACGCGAATCATCTCAAACTTTTAAAATGCTAGCTATTATTATTTAGAAGCGCGGAGTTCTGCTTACAAATAATACGTGCTAGCTTTTGAATCCCACATAGAAGGTAGTCTCAATTTTCACCGTGACGTAGGCAAATAAAAGTAGCCCCCGCTATGTAGCCTTTTCGGCACTTTGACGACTAGGCTAGTGTATTGGTAAATACATGAAACAACGATAGTGCACAAGTTTTCACAAAAATTAGACCTGTAAAAGGCGAAGAACTCAAGAAAAAATTCTATCAGGTGCAGTATTTAGAATTTTACGATGAAGATGCTCGGAAAAGATAGAGTGCTCACCATGTTAAGGTTCATGTAACCCACACAATGCCACACAGAGAATCACTGCAATTTTCTACTGAGACAACATACCAGTTATAATAGTCAGAAAAAGGCATACATGAACATGTGTGCACAAACGTTATGCTTACTTGATAAGTTTAGTAAATGCTAATATGATATTAAGTTGACCGGAACTATATTGCGATAGTGATGATATTCAACAATAGCGAGAGACGTTTGCAGTGTATCCTGATTTCGCGAAGAATAGCACATCACCCACATCGGATTCTTATTTCAGAGGTGATCAGATTGGGCTGACGTGATCATATTAGCAAACAATATTCATGCCATTAACATCTTTGTTGTTATGTTAATTATGGGGTGTGTTGGTAAATGGAACACGCACATCGTGCTGATTGATTGGAGCAAGTAAAAGGCCGTGGTGTTCCCTCAGAAACACGCGTCACTAACAAATTATTGAAGAGCTCAAAGCATATGCCTCTGACGACGCTTATCGATGGTGAAGCGGGGTTGTGCAGGTGCGGCCAACTCACCGATTGAGATTGCTCTGAACGAGACCCCGCTGCGCCTGCAACAATAGGGAAAACCGACAATGTATCTGCGTTTATTGGCAAATTGCAGCGAACCAATAAACACCTGAACAACTCTAGTGAAAATTTCGACCAGGATGAAAGTCACATAAGTGCAAAATGTAAAATGTACTTATGGGATATTCTCATCCATAGCCACATACTCACATATATGCATTGCAGAGATGTGTGTTTGTAGCCTAGTTATTGCTGGAGATAACGTGACATAGTTGTAAAATAAAGACATGTTGATTCAAGGACGCTGCAAGGAAATATATAAAACTAAGCCTCAGTTTTTATTTGAGCCAACTATATTAGGAAAAACGTGTCTTTGCATAGAAGGGATGTGGACCTCTTTCTATAGAAATATGGAAAACTAAAGTGAAGAAGTTTACGTAAACTCAGAGAGCAGTGACGTTCTGAGTGTATGTAAATGAAATGGTGAATTGTGATGGAAATATTCATATCCATTGCTAACGAAGTAGATTGTTGTATTCAACTACTACCTGTGCTACTGCTGACCTAGTCAACCTTGCAGGATATTTACTCAAATGCAAATGCATTCAATATATATATATATATATATATATATAAGAACTAGCTTCCTAGAAAGAAAACGTCTGTTTTCTTTCAGTTAAAGGAAAGCCAGTTTTCTGTGGAACAAAACAAACTTATCATAACGAAGATCAGTGATATACAAACACTTCGTACTGAACAAAACCCTTTGTCTTGAGTCTTACGAAAGGTATCGCCGGAAAATGTTCTATCAACCTCACGACAATCCAACTTTCTGCGAAGGTCTACATTATTGTCGGTTTCCACGTGGCTTCTTAAAAATTCGAAGAAGACTCTAATGAGGCGAACCGGAAGGTCTTCAATAGATTTTAGGTTCAAGGGTGTCGAAATGGCCCTATAAGCCAATTTTTATACATTTAGATAGAAATGGAAACTTTTAAAAGATAAGAATATTAGCTACCAATTGCATCGCCTAGGTAGGTCTAGACAGTTACCCTTTCTGAGGCGTTGACTTTACTTAAAATATTTTAACCGTTTTGAGCGCTTAAGTTTTTGGAACTTTTGGCCGCTATCAGTCCAATAATAATCCAAAATTAAGTCCCGTAGGACTTTTTGTTTGTCGCACGTTTGAGCGACACTTCATACCTACCAGTACTGCTTGAGGTACGGTTGCTAATAAAATTCTTATTGAAATACCTATTTCCGATTAGATACAACCGAAGCAAAGAAAAATTCTCAATTTAAATGCGCCACCTATATAAAGGGTTCCAGAAATGCAAGAGCTCAAAAATGCTAAAAAGATAAAAAAAAAGTAACCGTTGACGCTAATCTGCACGATCTAATTGGTAACTGAGTTTTTTTTGCCGCTAATTGCTGTGTAAAACACGTAGATGTATCAAAAATGGCTCCTTGAACTCTTTTGATGAATTTTCGAATCTATTAAATCAAAATTCTATTGAGCATTTTCCCTTATTAAACTCTCAATTCTGAAAAAGAAATTTTTGAGAGACCGCGTAAAAGCTAACAATAATGTAAACCGTCGATTTCCGAAAAAACGAGGTTTTCTGTTTTGGCTAGATTTTGTTGAGGGTGGCCAAAATTGGGCGGTAGCTAATCTTGGCTAGAATTGTTAAAGTGTTTTCTCGCATGATGGGCTCATTATTTTGCAATGGAAAAAATTGGGTTTTCTTCTATCACAGAGAATAGCAGATGTGTGCATGCTAGCTATGACAAACAGCCTTCGAAATTCTGTCCAAATTTGAATGCCCCATGCTATACATATTGATCACTCATTAACTCGTAGTGGACTAAACAATAGGGTCTTTCTTTATTAGCCCTGATGTATTCTTTGTTATAGTAGGTTGTTAGTGAAGGCCCTGTTTTTTTCCATACGAAGGGTTTAATTCACGTACATTTAGTCCTAAGTGACGCATTCCATGAATTAGAAGTCTTAACCTATGCGCCCGACACAGATAATCCATGTAGTCTTATAGAGTATTACCTTGTAAAAATTCTTGGTTCAGCCCATAAAATTGCTTGTTTTTCTGATCGGAATGTTGAGAAATTCATCTCTGCTATTAGCAGGTCACACCTATGGACAATCGATGCACATAACTTAATCAGTATTATTTTGCTTGCATAGCAGAATACTAAGACCTATGCGTTTCCATAAAGTTACGTGGTGACTTCGCTGTCAAATTGCCAAAGATATTGAAACCTGTTAATAGATAGTTTAATCAACAATGACACAACACTTACCACCATAGCTAATATTACTTGTAGATAATAGTAGTGGTACCAGTACGTAATATAAAGCCTGATTTTTTCAACTTCTCTCTATGATATACCAAATTTGTTGAGCATCTGATGAGTTGGGAACGAGTAGGGAAGTAATATATCATAATAATAGCACCGGTAATGGTATAACACCAGTAAGCTCTTATTTACTATTAAAGGCTTTATTTTACATACTTCGTTTAGCTGTACTCTTAAGTAGCTGAAGTGCGGTAGTTGATCAAGAACTCACATAGAACAAACCCTAATGCAACCTTAATGATGTAACCGAAAATTCGACAAAGTAACGCAGGAAAAGTTTAAGGCTTTTTAAGTTCATGGTTTCGCAACTTGTGTCTTATGCAGATACTGCGTGTGTTCATTTATTACGCCACATATTTCGAGCTTTGGTAATAGACAAAGGTTAGATAGGGGTTAATGGGCATTCTGTATCATTCCGCACAAACCGCAGCGATCCGTGTGGACCTCTGTTCAACCATCATCGTTACTCTTCTTGAGTCGGCACGTTAACAGATCATCGCTATTTCTTAATTTTGGCTCCACGTTCGTTGGACTTATAATTCTATCCCCCTTGACAAGTGAGCTTTATCAATCGACTAATTAACAGACTAATAAACATGGTATTCTATCCAAGGACTTGGATAGCCCCGGGTAACCGATATTTCTGATCCAACCAGACGCACTGGAACAGAAACGGATGTTAAAAGTCCAATTCATAAGCTATGACTGAAAGATGAACTTAGTATTACTAAGTTTTTAACGATAGAAAGCGAGCAGAAAATTTCGAAGGAATAGAGAGCGAGCAGTTCTCGTTTGACGAATAGGAGTATATTTCGCTTGGCTTCTGTTTACGCTAAATATCTTGATCCAGCACTAGGAAATTGACACGAATCTACCTAGAAAAGCAGCAATTTTTGTGTGAAGCGAAAAAAGGCGTCGTCCTTACCTATTGCCTGTGCGGAGAGACTTTTAACTGAATCGACGGACCGCATGTGTCGGTAGGGTCCAGATGATTGTGGCGAAATAGACACCGTCTAAGCTTATGGCATTTTCATCCCATGGTCCGAATCAATGGCTAAGTGTTCATCAAAAGCTCAATATGAATACGCGATAGAACACTCTACAAGACATATTTTTTTTTTTGTATATAGATATTCCCATGTTGACTGAATCCGCACAAGCGAAACCCTTTCATTTTAAAGTCGAACTGACTTTACTGAAAGATACGACAACACGGGTGCCGACACCGTAAAAAAAAAGCGAAAGCAGATGAAGCTGAGATGTCGAGTTACGCTTCCCTATAAAGTTATACACGAGGGAGGCTGTATCGTTCTGATATTGATGGTATAGAAACGCACGCATACACTTATGGAATTTCTAACATCTACCGCACAGTATGAAGTGATTTAATATTATTTTTGTAAATCAATTTTCGTAGAGAACAAACGAATACTTGAGTGGAATATCACCGCCAAAACGTATTTACTAATATATTGTCAGATCGCCCCATTCAAAAGATTATGTGCTCTATTAAGTTATGAATAAGTTCACGCCATTACTGAAACGCTACAGCTTCGTTAGTATGTATATATATATTTAATGTATAT